CTAAATTCCCTCCCATTGAGTGGTTCCTTTGGCTTTCGTGATTTTGTAGAAGAAAACTGATTTTGATGTATTGAACCTCTGTTGCCCAGAGTACAGACACCACTGCCTGTTCCATCCTCTTCCTTCTACAAAGAAACTTGGAAGACATACTAGCATTGATCTAGGGAACTGCATTGTTTAAAGTACTTGTATAAGAGTAACAGCTATCTTTTATTATACACTCATATAGTTATTACCTGTCAGTATTTTTTAAGATTTCCACCAAAGTAATATTCCTGTTTAGATTTATCATGCCTACTTAAAGTCACATGCAACATTTTAAGTTGTTTAGTCCACTCCTCTCCTTTTATAGATGAGGACTCTTGTCTAGAAAGGTTTAATGCTGTACCTAGCTCAACTAGCTTGTTAGTGAAGGAGGCTTTGTGTATCTTGATTTCTGATCCAGTGCTCTTTCACTGGCAGAGGTTTATGTCCATGCACTAATAATAACAACCTTCAGAAGAAAAATTTTCAAGCATAATCATGTAATTAAATAGTAACATAATAGAAAACGAGTACCGTGAAGGCAAGCTAAACTTTTCAGTTTTTTGTGAAATACACAAAACCTATAATATTACAAACTTAAAGATTGTATTACAAACTTAAAGAAGTCTAAGAAGTAATCCATAGTAGTTCAGTAATCCATAGTAGTTAGGAAATAAGTTGAGTTTCATCTAAGCTAGTTTTCCTGTTTTAAATTCAACAGGTTTCAAAAACCACAGGATGAAAAACCTTTTGAATTCTGATCGCTGGGCCTTGAGATTAAGTACGACCAACTCTGCCCAGAGACTGTTTTGAAGTTGTCTCTAAATGTTATTATTTTATTTTCCCCAGACTCCCTTAAATGTCATCCCTCTTTTATTTGTACTGTAGCACACCATTTTTGCCTCTCTGAATTTTCAGGTGATAGATTCATCAGATGTTGTAGTTCAAGTTCTTGATGCTAGAGATCCAATGGGCACTCGTTCCCCTCACATTGAAACTTACCTGAAGAAGGAAAAACCTTGGAAACACCTCATTTTTGTACTTAACAAATGTGACCTTGTTCCAACTTGGGCAACAGTAAGTACAACTACTCAACCAGAATAGACTATTAAGACATCTGTCAATAAGTCAGTTGTGGGTTTTTAGGCTAAAGTGTTTCACTGCTGAGATTGTAGTAATGGGAGTGCTCTCGTTGGAAATACAAAAGTGTGCTCATTGATGGTGGGCGGAGGCACCAGGAGACAGCTGCTGAGGCCACTGCCTGCTTCACATTATGCTCCATTAATTGCATTTAGTAACAATGAGGACATCTTTTGGAATACTGTTTTGTATTTATAAGACAAGACAAAAGCATTAACCATTATACTTGGAAAAACCATTTCAAAGAATTGTGGCTAACATTTTCGTTAGACAACATTATATTTGAAACAGTTCTGTAATTCAAGCTCTGATTCTTCCACATAATGTAAATAAATGAACTGCAGTTTACCAACATGTTTTCGTCTCTCCCTCTAGAAACGGTGGGTTGCTGTCCTCTCCCAGGATTATCCGACACTTGCTTTCCATGCAAGCCTTACTAACCCATTTGGCAAGGGAGCATTCATTCAGCTTCTGCGGCAGTTTGGAAAGGTATTGAGCCCTGATCTGTTTCTCCTGGAGTTGTGTAGCTGTGAGTTGGTGTAAGAATCTGTCTTGCCACGGCATAGCAGAAAGTTACCAATTTCTTAACTGGACATGGTTGTGCAGATCTGTAGTCCTAGCTACTCAGGACACTGAGGCAGGAGGATCGCTGGAGCCCAGGAGATCAAGGCTACAGTAAGCTATGATGGCAACACTGCACTCTAGCCTGGGTGACAGCAAAACCCTGCCTCTACAAAAAAAAGAAGATGTGGCCAGGCGTGGTGGCTCACACCTGTAATCCCAGCACTTTGGGAGGCTGAGGCAGGCAGATCACAAGGTCAAGAGTTTGAGACCAGCCTGGCCAATATGGTGAAACCCTGTCTCTACTAAAAATATAAAAATTAGTCAGGCGTGATGGCACACCCCTGTAGTCCCAGCTACTCGGGAGGCTGAGGCAGGAGAATCGCTTGAACCCGGGAGGTGGAGGTTGCAGTGAGCTGAGATTGTGCCACCGCACTGCAGCCTGGGCAACAGAGCGAGACTCCATCTCAAAGAAAAAAAAAAGAGAAGATGTAAAACTTCCAGAGTTGTAAAAACCACAGAGCGTCAGGATTATAAGAGATTCTGAAGTGTTTTCTTGCTCAGCCTTTGCCACCATCCGTGACCAGTGTTGCTTCCATTTCTGCCACAGCCCTGGCAGCTGACGTTTCATGCTCTGCTGGGCTTTGCAGTCCTGCTGTGCCTCCTCTGCCCATGGAGCCCATTCAGCTTCTATCTCCTCTGGTTGGAGAGGGCCCTGCCAAAATTCAAGCTTCAGATCCCTGGTCAGATGTCAGCTCCTGAGGGAAGCCCTGGAACCAGACTACCCTATCAAATGTTCTTAAAGCTTCATGCTCTGTGCCTGTCATTTTTAATTTGTATATTTAAGTTAATTCTACCTGGCTTCTAACAAAAGACACATGTCTGCTGTCCCACCCTTCCCCACTGTATAGAAGCAAATGCTTCCAATAGTTAGCTGTTCTGTTATTTTTCTCCATATTTTTAGTACATGCTTAGGATTTTTTGTTGATCTGTGCCTACTCCCCCACCCCCAGTTTAAGATGCTTATTAATTTCCTACTATGGAAAATGAGGATTTGCTTTCTTATAGCCATCCTCCCTCTGTATGTACTTCCCCCTGTATTGTTAGATGCCATTGTTGGGTTACAGTATTATTCATTCAGTGTTGGTTGGTGGTGGTAGTGGTTGTTGTTTTAATTTGGAAAGGAGAGCTTTATTTCTCATAAAGGGTTGCAGCCTGCAGGGTGGCCACTCTAACAGGCTGGGAAGAGTAACCTTGGCCATTCAACCTTTACACTGTCATGACTGTAACAGGTTAGTCACAGCTGATCCACATGGTGTGCTATGAGTATAATTCCTTTCTGATCGAAGCTTTTATTTTCACTGGTGTTACTTTGCTGTGTTCTATTTGCATCTGTCACTATCATGTTACCAAATTCTCTGATACAGTAGGAACTCTCAGTGCTTCCAGGCAGCACCAGTTCCCTTCGGTGGCCAGCACTCCGTCCTCTGCAGGGTTGGCCACTCTCCAGGCTGCTGCAGCGTCGTCTTTCTGGGATTTCCTTTCACTGTCATCCAGAGAATTCCCATGGCTGTTTTCCTGTATGGGAACTCTTGTTCATAGGACCTCTTTTCTTCTTTTCTGGTTTACTCCTTCCTTTCGATGGGACATATCTTCCAAAAGTTTCTTTAGAAGGAATACTTGGAAAGAACATTTTTGAGATACGCCTTGCATTCTGAGAATATCTTTATTAACGTCTTTATTCTACGCTTTATGCTGTTTTTCCTCAGAATACGGAAGTTACCACTACACTGTCTTCTGACTTCTGAGGAATCTGAGGCCATTCTGACCCCTCATACTTTGTGTGGCTGTGATGTCTCTTTTTGAGACAGGGTCTTGCTTTGTCACCCAGGCTAGAGTGCGGTGGCGCAACCTCAAACTCCTAGGCCCAAGCGATCCTCCTGCCTTGTTTTGGCCTTCTGAAGTGCTGGGATTACAGGTGTATGCCACCACGTCCAGCCGGTCTTTTCTTATTCTAAAATTTAAAATTTCTCTTGTTCTAAAATTTCACAGTGATGTGTCTTGAAGTGGGGCTTTTATTGCTTAGTGAGCTCGGCGTTTGATGAGACTTTAGTCTGATATTGTCTTACATTATTTCTTTGAAATTTTCTTTCCTCCCTCAGTTGTCTGTATTCTTGTTCAGAAATTTGCTTTTACCTCCTGGTTTAATATTTGAATTATATTTTCTTTTTTTTTTTTTTTTTTTTT